TATTTCTATCTATCTCTCTCTCTCTCTCTCTCTCTCTTTCTTTCTTTCTGTCACATACAGCTTCCTAATACGTATACACGTATACACATGAACAGAACCTACCTACTATTGTTTTGGTCACGCGATCGAAGTTACCCCCTTCTAACAAAGTACAGTTTTGCGTATGGCACACGTTCGCAGACGTTGTCACGATCTTTTTCCGTAATACAGACATTAGAACGAGTAAGAGTGAGACAGAGAGAGAGAGAGAGAGAGAGAGAGAGAGAGAGAGAGAGAGAGAGAAGGTTGGATTTTCCTTCTTGTTATAAAAAAAAAAAATATATATATATGTATATATTATAATATATATATATATATATAGGGAGAGAGAGAGAGAAAAAAAATGAAATGAGAGAATGATCTTTCGAGAAATTATAATCGAAAAGTCATAATATCAGATTGAGATTGGCTAAGATTTATTTTGTTAAAGCATTAAAACGGGAATAAAAAGAAGAATGAGAGAGAGAGAGAGAGAGAGAGAGAGAAAAAGGCATATACTTTAATTTCTTTTTTATTTTATGTTTTTTTTTACGGAGAAAAAAATAATGGGACACAAGAAATGGAACAACGATCATTGATAAATTATAATCGAAAGATAGAGGTATCATAGATCAAGATAGTTGAAATTTATTTAACTAATAAACGTCTAGAAGGCAATGTATGTATATATAACTTTGTAGATTTCTACTTTATAATCAGGTGATAAATATAGGTATACCTGTGTGCTTCTCAAACCTTCGCGTTAGCTTACATTAAGATAATGTAACAACGTAGTAATATACATTAATAGCAATAAAGAAAAAAAAAAGAGAGAGATAGATAGATAGATAGATAGAGAGAGAGAGAGAGAGAGAGAGAGAGAGAAGAAAAGAAAAAACCTAATCTAGCATGGTCGGACTTGAGCGTTTTGCATTTTAACGAGTTCTCGCGCTTGAAAGGAGAATTCTCTGAGCGTAGATAAGAGAAACGGATGAAAACGCGGGTTTTGCATGGAGGTTTTAGTTAATCGTACAAACGATGCCGATAATTACCGTATAAACCGAAAGAAATTAATCAAGACATGTTAAAGGAACACCTGTTTCAATTATTTTATATGATTCAATCGTGCTTTCTTGTCTTTCTCGAAAATGGTTATCCGTTTCTTTGATATGTTCGTGATATATTTAGATCATCGTTAACATCGTTTTGACAATAGTTACTAAAGAAAAGATAAAGAGAGACAGAGACAGAGACAGAAACAGAGAGAGAGAGAGAGAGAGAGAGAGAGAGAGAGAGAGAGAGAGAAGGGAAATCAGAAAAGTAAAAGGAGAAGAAGAAAAAGAAGAAGAAGAAGAAGAAGAAGAAGAAGAAGACGAAGAAGATGATGAAGATGATGAAAAAGAAAGCAGATGATGAAGGCACGATCCATTAGTAGGCACGTCAATTCGGCTCTTAAGAAGCGACTGACTTAAAGCCGCTTCCCATCTATTTTTTTTTTTTTTTTCTTATCTTTATCTCTTTCTCTCTCTTTCTCTATCTATCTATATCTCTCTTACTCTATATATATATATATATATATATATATATAACTATATATCTTTCAAACCGCTCCGTACTTATTAGCGGAGGCTGTGCTGCTAGGCTTTTACCTTTCTCCTCTCGGCACACGGTATCATAATTAATGATAATTCGATTAGCGAGACAAGATTGGACCATGGCTAAGCAGACTCCGATGTCCCTCCTTTCTTTTTTCCTTTGTTTTCTTTCTTTTCTTTTTTCTTCATTCCTTTTTTCTTATCTCGTTTTTTCTCCTTCATCTATTTTTCTTTTTCCTTTATCTAACGTTTACTTCCTTCCTTGTTCCTCCTTTTTTTCCCTCCTTCTCCTTCTCCTCCTTCTCCTCCTCCTCCTATATCTACTTAATCGTTAAAACGTTGCAAATATTTTTTTTTTGTGTCCACTCTTTCCATGCGCGCGCGTCCCTTTTTTATTTCGCTTTTCCTCTTGCCCCTCTTCGTTTTCCTTTTTGACGCCCCCACCCTCCCGCCCACTCCCACTCTTTTTTCCCCTTCTTCTTCTTCTTCTTCTCCTCCTCCTCCTCCTTCTTTTTTCCTTTGCTTCTCTTTTTTCTCCTTTTTCATTTTGTTTATTTCTTTTTTTTCTCTATTTTTTCCTTTTTTTTTTTTTTTTTTTTTTTTTTTATTAATTCGTTATCGTACCATGTAGCAGGAGGCTACTACGTAATTTTCTTCTTTTATCTCGATAGATGATGGTACACGATCGTCAACGTATCTCGATCTGACGTCGGCGATTAAGAGGCAATTAACGTCAACCTTCGCCAAAAATCACGCGTCATCGTTCCCCTCCTAACCTGCCATCCTCTTTCCTTCTCTGTCTCCTCCCCACCCCGCCCCTTTCTCTCTCTCTCTCTCTCTCTCTCTCTCTCTCTCTCTCTCTCTTTCCTCGTCGTACAACGTATGTGAGATTAATTGGATTGATATTGGAATTTATTTCCCGACGTTACGTTTGAGCGATGATCTAACTTCGTATTTCGATGACGATTAATCTTTATTACAGTCATTGATAATGATCATGTAAATTTTATAAAACAAAAAAAAAAGAAACCAAAAAAAATATTATTATTTGTTTACTCATTTACTCATTTATTCATTCATTCATTTATTTTCCTTCTCTTTCTCTTTTTTCTTTCTTTCCTTTATAACGAGACACGCATTAATGTTTTACATGTTTCTTCCTTTTTTCTTCGTTACAATCGTTGTATATATTCATGAACAAAAAAAAAAAAAAATGAAATAAAAAGAAACAAAGAGAAAAATGAGAAAAAAAAAACAAAAAAAGGAAAAAGAATAAAAAGGAAAGGGATAGAGAGGGAAAAGAGAGAAAGAAAGAAAAGGCCACGTGTTTAGTTTCGTTCGAGATTATGCGATTTCTGTTCCCCACAACTATTATATTACTCCGTTATTCGTCATCGTTACTCTCTATCTCTCTTTCTCGATTCACCCTCGCGGTCTCTCTCTCTCTCTCTCTCTCTCTCTCTCGATAACGGTAGTAGCGCCCGTACGAAATTGTTTTGTCGATTCTGACCTTTCCACCGAAAGTGTTGCGTCGATACGTGCACCTGCACGAAACGCGAACGCGGTAGGTAGAATGACACGAAAACGACGCTCGTTTTCATTGCCCGAAGGATAAATTCGACCTTCCTCTAGACAAAGTGTGCCTCGAAATTGGAATTATTGGATATACGTTTACTCGATGACCGACATATTTATATACATGTGTGTATTTGTATATGTATATATATATATATATATATATATATATATATATATGTAAACAGTGACGTATATTTCATTATCTAATCATTTTAATCAATGTTAGTTAAAAATCATTTCGAACGAATTTTATGTAATATAATTTTACAGATTAAAATCCCATCGGTTCTTTCTTTCTTTTTTCTTTTTTTCTTTTTTCTCTCTTTCTTTCATTTCCTTTTTTTATAATTTGTAACATATTTATTTATGAGATATATATATATATATATATATATATATATATATAAAAACTAAAAGAAATATTATTTTTTAGATAAATATTTTTTATTAAACATACGTACTACGTATATATCGACGTACACGATCGTGTATATAATTATGTATACATGTATATACCTATACATGTACACATGCACACATACACACATATATATATATATATATATATATAAATGGTGGTAAAAAAGTTAGAGAGAACTGGCTGTAGAAAGTGCTTCGGTTTAACTCCGGACGGCGAATTAACGTGTGGCTGCCGTGTCGTCGTAGTCGAGAGATCTTTCTGATAATAACGATTTTCCAATTATACGCTAACATTACATAGGCGAGGAAGTTATACGTGCAACCTCGACGACTACAACGTAAGCAAGTAAGTAAGTACTTACTTACTAAGTCAGGAATCGGAAGACACGTAGCTCTTTTTAACGATATGACGATGATAGCCATATAAGAAAAGTACACAGGAGGCAATAAATTTATGCTGACATCATTCAAATCTATGATTATATACGTTAAGGAGCTGATCATTAAATTAAACATCACTCGTGTTTTATCACTCGATGATAATAACGGATGAATATGTTATATAATGATGAATCGAGGGTAATTGGGGTGGGGTAAACGCGTGTCAGATGATGATAATACGTCACTGAAATGACAAATGAATGTCTACCGTCGGACACAGATTCAAACGATGAGTGTGATGATAGTTCATAAGATCATTTGAATTTTTAAAAAATACGAATGGATAGATATTTCTTCTTTTTCCTTTTCCTTTTTTTTTCTTTTTTTTTTCTTTTTTTTTTTCATATTCTACGAATAAACACATTACGATCTATATACTTCGATAACGGGATATTGATAAACACATTATTCGAAAATATACGTATTTGATACTATAATAGAAATTAAAACGTATATATGTATTGTATATATGTATTATATATGGATATCGTACGATCGGTTTCATCGAAGTCTCGTCGTCGTAAAGAAAATAATTGTTAACGTCGATGATACACGAAACCGATGTAAAATAATTATTGGCAAATTGAATAATAATACGACGTTATCGAACGATACGTATCGTCACAATAATTCCAATGTCACTTTCATGTATATATACATATACATATACATATATATATATATAATAATAATAATAATAATAATATATATGCATAAATTAAAAAGTAAATAAATGAAAAATAAAAAAAAATAAAATATACGTTTCTCAATGAATGTTCGATAGATGAAACTATTTAATCGCATTCAATAAATATATAAATATATCTAATACACGTATGATTAATAGATATATATGTATGCATGTATATATATATATATATGTATGTGTGTATGCGCGCGTGTGTGTGTGTGTGTGTGTGTGTGTGTGTGATAAACAAAGAAGAATACCAGTGTTCTCCTGAGACTCGCGAGTACTGTCTTCCATCTCTTGATGATTCCTTTTGTGATTAGCCAGGCCGAGTATGGCATCGATGCTGTGTCGTGGCGTGCTACTGGTTGGTTTTGGCAGGACGATGTCCTGACTATTTTGCGAGCTCGTTTCAACGAGCTGCTGCGAATCCATCGCCGTTCGTGAAAATAGACAAAAATCCTGTACGAAGACGAATAGAATAATTTCACTCGAGTACTCGTCAGCTTGTAACGCTTTGTTTGTTTGCTCGTTCGTTTCTATTGTTTTGTTTTGTATTCGTTCTGTTCCTCCTCTTCTCTCTCCTTTTTTTTTTCTTCGTCGCTCCCTTCGCCAAAAAAAAAAAAAAGATAAGATGTCTACGATACAATTCACTTCCTATTTACGCGAGAACACATTGAATCGTTGATACAACGAAGTACGATCATTTTTTCTTCTTTTCTTCTTTCCCTTTTTATTATTTATTTATTTCTTTACTTATTTCTTTATTTCTTTATTTTTCTTTTTTTCTTTTTATCTTTTTTCTTTTTTGTTTCAATAAACGCGCAACTCACGTACCCGGATATATATGTCATTAATATAGTTCGTCAAGCACTCATTAAGATTTACAAGGTCACAAGATAACGGCAACTAAACGATTTTCATTCATAGTCAATCAACGATGATACACATATATATATATATGTATATATGTATGTATATGTATATATATCACTGTCCGATATACGTATGGTAAATCACTGTGTTAACCTTCTTTCTCGGCTTTCCTTTTCCTCTTTCTTTATTCTTATTTTTTATTTTTTCTTTTTATTTTTTCTTTTTATTTTTTTTTACTTTATACAAAATCAAGTCAAAATGTATATTGCGACGACGTTTCCATGGAAGATATTACGTTGACACGGTCCATCGTTGATTGAGATCGTACCTATGTACGTATGTCTTTTCTTTCTTTCTTTCTTTCTTTCTTTTTTCACCGCACAAAAAAGAAACCAGAAGAAATCTTATCCGATCACCTTCCTACCGAAACTATGATAATAATAATAATAATAATAATAATTCTTCTTATAATAATCCTTCGTTACTTCACGTGCGAACGATTATTTATCAATTCCAGTCTTGATGTTTAAAAACTCGAACGAACGTTATCACTGATTTTAAATAACATGGATGAAGTATCACTTACTTTAATTTTCAAATAATTAAGAACGTGAGTCCGTGTCGATACTAGTTGATTGAACTTCATCGAAAGTAAATCTTTTCGTTGGATCGATCGCGATCTATATTTTTCTCTGTTTTCTTCTCTCTCCCTCCCTCCCTTCCTCTATCTCTCTCACTCTGTCTCTCTTTCTCTCTGTCTCTCTGTCTCTCTTTCTCCGAAAATAAGTGTTCGTCGTATGTAAGGGTCGATGCTTTGAGGAGAGCGTGCGTCCTACTCGAGGACTAGCCGGCCGTCGTCTAGCGGGGTGGCCTTTGTTGCAGCTGCACACAACTACTCACTTAGGGAAGCACGATATCGTGAGGGAAGAAAGAGGTGGGAACCCTGATTGAAATGGCATTGGGCGTGGCTTAGTAGAACCAATGACGGGGAAGCTCGAGGTAACTGCTAACCAATCATAATGAAGATAGAGGAACATGGCGAGACAGTGGTGCTCAATCATAGTGAAATTTTCATCTTTATCCAACCCCCGTCGATATCACTAAGGTGGGGGAGAGTTTTCGGCTTGCGTTAGAATCTCAAGCGGAGTTGGGAGGGAGGGTACGGATAGACTATAGGAAGGGTGGGGGTTAGGAGAGTTTAAGAGGGGAGGGGTGGAATGGTCGAACGACGAGTTTTCTTCTGGCTTCTGTGACAACGTACGCGGGTTTCCTCTTCTATGTCTACGTCTCTCTCTCTCTCTCTCATTCTCTCTCTCTTTCTGCGTTTGTGTGTATATGTGTGTATACGTCTATTTTCTACTCTATGAGTCTATGTACGTTTGTGTAAGACAGAGAAAGAGAGAGAGAGGGTTGTAGACGTGCGCAAAAGCGAACGTACGTAGAGAGGTGGCTCTCACTGATGTACAAACGTTCTCGCAACATACGCACATATATATATATATATATATATATATACACGTAAATGTATGTATATGTGTATATACACAAGGAGAGAAGGAGAGAGAGAGAGAAAGAGAGGGAGAGGGTGAGAGAGAGAGAGAGAGACATACAGACACGTATACGAAATACGCGTAGACACAAAGTGTACAGAGGGTGCCCGGTGTGGGTTGATTCTTGCGGCGGATTCTGGCATCCCCTGTAATTGCCAGAAATGAGGTAAAGCTTACCGCTTACGCCGAGGCTTCTATGCTCCTGTGTACATACCTATGTAGGTATATACAATACTTCGTGAATTTCAAAGACTAAGTAAGTAAGTAAGTAAGTAAGTAACTACTTAGGTATGTAAGTACTTACGTATGACGTACAATATCTATTCGTTTCAATTGATTCCTTTAACTACTTTTTTCTTTTCTCCATTCGACGGTATATCGTTTTAAAAAATAAATCAGATTACGATGATTCTCCGATCGATTATCTCCTCTTATTTATATGTTTAGGTACATAAATATATATATACATATATATATATATATATATATATATATGCATCCATGTGTATGTATATGTATTCATAACTACTATTTGATAAAGCATCGTTCTTTCTATCGTTATCAGAAATTACTTTCAAACGAAGTTTCGATCGATCGAACGAAATTACGTAAATGAATCTGTTTGAGTGAGAATTAAACGACTATTCTCTCTTTTCTTTTATATTACGAAGTGAGAAATGTACAAAAATTTTGTAGTTTTATCTTGAATTTATCATCGAAAAGAAATTTTCGTCAATTTGTGTCGCCGTGGAAACGAGACCCTGTACGCGTGTCCCTGTTTCTTTGTGTGTGTGTGTGTGTGTGTGTGTGTGTGTGTATGCGTGTGTCTGCGCGTGTGTGACGAGAGAGAGAGAGAGAGAGAAAGAGAGAGAGAAAGAAAAAGGAAGAGTGGATAACAGATTTTTATTCGTAGCGTTCTTTCCATGAGTTTTCGGGATTTGCCTGGTGACAAAGCAGCAAAAAGCGGGGAACGCTTTTCCGGTTAGCAGAACGGCGCGCGTCCGGCTTGGAAATTGTTTCTTTTCCATTCCCGTAGACCAAAAACCAACGAGAGGACGCAAAATAAATCCCTGTTTCCCATTCCACGCTCGATTCCGCGTATCGTCGTTACCATTTGGCGTTTTAGCCCGGGGGGAAGTGTACGCCCACAAAACCGCGCGACAAAAGATATCCGCCTCTAGCGAAACAGTAGCTTTGCTCAAAATCGATCTAACTATATCGAGCTAAATTATACGTTGCGGATGAATTCCCGTTTGGCCGTTATAGGAAAAGGACTTTCCTCCTTCCTATATATACATATATATATATATATATATATATATATATATATACATATACATATATATATACATATATATATACATATATATATATGTATGTATGTATATATATATATTTCTATTTTACAAACTTTTCGATACGATGAAACTAAGATACTGTCATTGTTGATTAAACTTTAGGGAAAGGATTTTCTAAATTTTTCAAAACATCGGGTATATATATATATATATATATATGTATGTATATAGTTATAAAAAAAAAATATCATTCCCAACTTGGAGATTAAAATTTTTCAAATATTTTCGATCTTTTATAAAAATTAGATATTACTTAAATTATCTTAAATTTAACAATAAAATAGATTACTTCTTGAAATAATTTGAATTTGAATTTTTGAAAAAGTTTCTTGATTATTATAAAAAGTTTATCAATTATTAATTATAAAAGAGAAATAGAAAAAGAAAAAGACAAGAATTTTTATTTATCTCTAATTTAAATAAATATTTCAAATTTATAAAATTCTTTTATATATAATAATCCGTGAAAGGATTGACACGTGTAGTTAGAAAATAACTATAACAAGACCGTAAGGGATAAAATCTCGATAAAGGGTTTCGAAGGACAACAATGTTCCCACGAGCGTGCCGTGTCACGTGGAATTTACTTATCGGGCTCTCGCGAATATTCGAAGAGTCGACGAGTCCTCGACAACGCCATTTTCCACCCCGCTCAATCTCGGCCACCAATCTAGCTCGTGGCTTCAACATAGGGAGATAGAGATAGTAAGAGAGAGAGAGAGAGAGAGAGAGAGAGAGAGAGAGAGAGAGAGAGAGAGAGAGAACCCAGAGAAAAAGCTTTTAAGTCCCTCGTGGAAATCAGATCACAGTTGCATTTAACCGGATCCCACTTACAGCGATAAATATCTGACAAAGACAGAAAGAAAGAGAGAGAGAGAGAGAGAGAGAAAAAGGGAAAAAGATAGAGATAGAGTTAGGAACCAAGATGTGGAATTAGATCAGGCACATTTATTTTCTAACCTCAGCTCCATCGATCCTATCCCTTCAGCACTTTACTTCCAGTTTTAGCTAATTTCCAAAAGTCTGATCTTTCGACTCTAAACTTTTAACAGGGGTTCCTTTTTCTTTTTTTCCTTCTTTTCTTCTCTCTCTCTCTCTCTCTCTCTCTCTCCCTCCCTCTCTCTGTCTGTCTGTCAAGTGGCTCTCGATGGATTACCAACAGACGTTGAAAAACTCAGGTAGCTACGACGGTTAAACGGTTACGACCGTTCTCGTATTTGGAGCAAAGAGTCCGTATCTCAAAACGGATAATCGAAATACTTTGAAGCTACTTTTGTTAAGTTCACGATAGCTTGCGAACCTATATTTTTTAGAAAAATGATGTTTCAATTTTGTTCTCGAGAAGATGGTAGAACTGTAATCAAGGTAACGATATCCTCGATTGAGAAGGAGAAGGGAAAAGGCTCTCACGAAAAATCCTCTCGAGTATTCCGATGAGTCATTGGATATACTAACTAAGTAATACTTATTTATATTTCTTTTTATCGAGATCAATTCGATTTTCTTTTTATTTATTTATTTATTTTCTATCTTCTTTCATGTTTTTCTTATCGCGAAATAACATCGAGAATCCCCATTGAGACGTTAAATTAATGCTCCTGTCATTAATATCATTTGTATTTGTTTTAACAAATGTATGATGATCGGGGGGGGGGTGAGGGGGAGGGGGAGGAGTGAAAGAAGAGTGTTCGATGAAAATTAAAAAAAAAATAAAATAAAATAAAATAAAATAAAATAAAATAATATAAAATAAAAAGAAAAATGAGAAAAAAATGAAAAGTAAAGAAATAAAAATAGATCGCAATATCCGGCCTTCTAGTAAAAGAAAATAATTTGTATTCTTTGATATTTTTATCGTATCGTAGGATCTGTCCGAAACGTTAGAATTTTACGACCATATAATAGAAGAGAGAAAGAGAGATAGAGAGAGAGAGAATTGAGCGCGGCAAATCGTCAAACAAAGTAAGTAGTGGTAGATCCGATCTAACGATATTCGTACGATATTCATTCGTATGTTTGAAAACCGTTCTAGCAAAATGGAGCGGATTTTCGACTTCATTGTAAACACATTGTCGATCTTTAAGGTCCTGCCCGATCGTCTCTTCTCAACAATGGCGCGTGTCCTGCCCGTCGAAAAGAGCAACGTTTATTCTCCTTCTCTCTCTCTCTCTCTCTCT